GCCCTAAACAGTTTTACAATATAAATTGCCAATATTATAAGAATCTAATATGACACCGAAAGAAAAAGAAAATTCTCATATATTTACCAGTATTATTCGAACTTCCGAAGCGATAGGTCGAAAAGAATAAGCGCACAGTGTCTTTTTCTACTAATTAACTCGATTTTAAATTAGTACAGGTGATTCGAAGTTGTCATTAACTCAGTGTCATAAATAAGTCTATAAGTGACTCCCCCATGGAAGAGGCAATTTCCCCAGAGACGCCAATAGGTGATTTAAACTTTTCATGTATTAGTAAGAATAGTGAAATGCCTATGAATGAATCCAGTTTAATCGAAAATGTTGATGATTCGACTGCGAAAAATGCGAAGAAAACCAGTGACTGTACTACAATCTTGCCAGAACCTGAAAGAGCGCAAAAAACAGTAGCGATAAAATTTTTCAACGTCAAAATCAGATAAGTACAATTTTAATAATGTTTATGTTCACATAGAAAAAACAAACAATGAAAATATAGGTCGTTTACATCATTTAACGGTCGCGCATATATTGCATAAAAAATTGAATATTCCTAATATTATTGAAATTAAAGGCATTGGAAAAAACAGAATTAAAGTTTTGTTAAGGTCAATTTCTGATGCAAATAATTTGATTAAAAATTTAAAATTTGGTAGCTTATATTCCTAATCATCTACTAGAAATTAAAAGTCTAATCAGAGATGTTAATACACAGTACGATGAAAATTATTTATTAGATAACAGTGAATCTCCCTCCCCCATATTAGGTTATAAACGAACTTTTAGAAGGGTTGATACGGAAGGAAAAACTAACTATCTACCGAAAAGGACTGTAATAGTCACCTTTGAGGGAAATATTTTACCTAGCTACATTGCAATAAATAGTGTATTTTTTCCTGTAGAAACCTATATTGGCAAGGTCACTCAGTGTTATAATTGTTCGAGATTTGGACATATTTCTAAGCAGTGTCGGAGTACACAAGCACATTGCATAAAATGCGGAAAAACCAAAAATGAAGATCATTCGTGCCAGGATAATGATATTTAGTGCATCCATTGCGATAGTAAGGATCATGTATCCATTTCCAAGAAATGTCCAAAATATGAACTGCAGAAGAAGATCAAAAACGTAATGATTGAGCAAAAAACTTCTTTCATCGAGGCAAAAACTTATTGTGAATCATACTTCTCAGGATTGTTCACTTAGAATAGATATTCCACACTAGAAAATATCGGAAACAGTTTTCCTCCCCTGCCAACATTCACAAAAAATTCAACCCCTTCTGCTGCCACACAAGTAATCCCGCGTAGAAACCAAAACATAGCATCAAATAACACATCACAACCCTCCTCAAGTCACTATAACATATCGAAAAAACGAAAATTAATCTCTCCTACCCCCCAGTCCCCCCATAATGCACCTATGTTTCCTTTTAATTTTGGGCCCTCTAGACCCCTTCCTGCTAATTTAAACATCCCTAATTGTCAAAATAAAACAGATCAGACAGTTCTAGAAACACTTATTTCCAATTACATTTTTAATTTAATCACAAATATTCAAACTGTAGATGATATAAAAACAATAAGTCAAGATAGTATTTACCATGGAATAAAAACGATTTTGGAGGATATTATCAATAAATAACATCTTCACAGAACTTAAATCATTAAAAATTTTGCAATGGAACGCTCGATCCGGTGTTTCGAATAAAAACAACTTAGTTCATTTTTTAACAACTGAAAATATTGACATTGCCTTATTAAGCGAAACTTGGTTCAAACCAAATCAGAATTATATATTTAAGGGTTACGTTACAATGTAATTCGCCAAGATAGGTATGACGGGGTACGCAGGTGTTGCAATCTTAATTAAAACAACCATACCATTTTGTCAAATAAATATTAGAAACAATAATTTTAACGATGAAATTTTAGTCTGCGGTGCTACCGTTAAAATTAATAAAACAGAATTAAGTTTTCTATCTATATATAGACCACCTAAAATTCGTACTTCCAAAAATGATTGGATAAATATCTTCTCACAAGTCAAATCACCTTTTATAATTGGAGGAGATATGAATGCCCATAACTCACTATGGGGTTCATTACAAAATAATGCAGTTGGTCACCAAATTGTTAGTAGTATTGAGGATCTAGATCTTGTAATTTTGAATAATGGTGAACCTACCTATCTTCTTAGATATGGTCCTCAAAAATCGATGATTGACATTTCCCTCTGCACACCTAATATAGCTAGTAAAATCACCTGGTCAGTTTTATCTAACACCTTAGGCTCCAATCATTTTGCAATAACTATGAATTTTTCAATAACCTACACATCGCAGGAAACAATTTATCCAAAAAGCAAATGGAACATCAAAAAGGCCAATTGGGCTCTGTATACATCCTTAATTGAAAACATGTTTTCTAATAAAAGTAACTCCCTTAATACTTATGAAAATTATAACTTTCTAATAGATTGCATTAATCATGCTGCTATTAAATCTATTCCTCAATATAAAATTTTTGAATCCAAAAATCGATCCCCTCCGCCATGGTGGGACCCAGAATGTGATCTGATAATTAATAACAGAAAAGAAGCATTAGCAGTTAATAAACGTTCACCAAGCCTTGATAATTATCTAAAATGTCAGAAA